CTAAGAGACTACTTTTCGGCGTGTAAAAGATCTGACTTGTAGGTATGTTACGAAAGCCAGCCTTCGTAGAAGGCGCTAGCGGAGTTGTGTCTGGCGAACGAAGTGAGTAGTTAGGGGGTCTGGGGGGGTGGCCCGAGAAAGGTATACGTCAACTCAGCACATGCTGGGGGAGGAGGGTGCTCCGAGGGAAGGTTTTTTGAGGTTGTGTTGGAGGTGATTTTTGAGGGGTGGTGATGCAAGAAATGCCAAATGCATCATTTGCATCATCTGAATGGAAAGGTGTAGTTGGCACCTTGCAAGGTAGAGAGACCTAGGGTAGCTATAGTGCAGCTACCAGGTATAGTTCTTCAAGTTCCCTTTCCGTCAACCGCTTGAGAACCTCTACACACGCACAGCAATCCACAGCCTTGAAGTCTCATTCGTGCTTTGAACTTGTATAGGTGTGTAAGAGGTATAGCAACATACTATTTATACGGACCCAGGGTAGCTACAAGTAGCTACAGTTCTGGTATGGCGCGCATGAGGCTTCAAAGCTGCGGTTTTCAAGCTAAAGTCAAGGTGGCCTGAGACCAGGGTTTGCTGCCCTAAAACACTCTGTTCAGGCCACCTTGAAAATAAAGGTGTAGTTGGCACCTTGCCAGGTATAGACACCCAGGGTAGCTATGTAGCTGTGGTTTTCAAGCTAAATTCAAGGTGGCCTGAGACCACGGTTTGCTGCCCTAAAACACTCTGTTCAGGCCACCTTGAAAATAAAGGTCTTGTAGCTACAATTCTGTTCCCAGGTATGGCGCGCATCAGGCTTCACAGACAGTGGAAATAGCTTCTTCCCGGCTTCGCACTGCGAATCAGCCCCACAAAAGCGCGGGCTTTCGTTTTGCAGCTTCTCAGGTGGCACCTTGGTCTTGTGTCAGTTTGTAGACTGCTGGACTTTCGACTTGGCCTAGAAAGAGGAAAAGACAGCGACATGGCGCTGCATGTGGTGGAAGTGTTTTGTGAATTGTGCCTGCTGAAATGTAGGACCTGTACAGATTGCACTTCCATATCCATGCTACTTGTCATATCGTTGTATCTACGCCTTAGTCACTCTTTCAGCCCCCCTCCTTCAAGCCTTCAAGAAAACTTCACAGCACGCCCCCCCTTCCTTCAAGAAAACTTTGCAGTACGCCCCGCCTCCCCTCCTTCAAGCTTCAAGACTTCACAATATCCCATCTTCTCCACTCTTCTTCAAGAAGACATGTTAGTACACTCTCCCCCCACATAGCTTATATACTTAACCTTTAATCATTCAGTTTATTGAATTTGTAAATCACTAATGATGATTTTACATCATGTGGATGCAGTCATGCATATGTGCAAATCATATGCACAGACAGGGTCACATGATGTGATCTGCTTATACATGCATGTAACTATAATCAACCACTGATCTTGGGGGGTTACCATATATATATACATATTAATTTTATGCATTCACACAACAAGACAGTACTTATGTACTGGTATCCTGTTCAGTGCCGTGACGCCATCCAGATGTTTCCATATGAGTTTGATGGGCGTTCGAAGGCTAAACGTAGTTTGTGCCTGAACTTGAGCATTTGTACTATATAATGGTTGATGAAACTCAGGCATCAGCGGCCTCATTGTTGCGTCCTTGTTCTTTGGAGTGGAAACCTGAGTCAAGACATACCAACTAGCAGCATCGAATGTCCACTTAGACTGTGAGGTGCTCAAGGGCAGATACCTCGAAAAGAACGCTCAGAGACTGATCCTGGAAGCGGAGTGACCGAAGAAAACATGCGTTCCTTCGAGAATCAATGACACTTTGACACCAATTGCCTGTCATGTTCATGCAACAATTACAGGATCGCAGCCATTCATGCCAAAGATATTCAAGTTTTTCTTGAGGGTGACAACTTCGCCACAACTTGCCGCACAAAACAACCTTTTGTGTCATCAAGCAAAAGATTGAAAAGACATGTTCGCAACACTTCCGTCTATATACAGTATTTTTTTTGCAAAGACTTGCCATGGGATTTCTCAGCTCAGCAGACCAGGCTGGTTTTTGAGACTTTAGGTGGAGGAAACGTCAAGGGAAAGGATGGTTCTGTGCTTGCTTGGTGATGTAATGTGGTGTGTACCTTGCCAGCATGCAAGAGGTGTGAGAGTAAAGTCGCGTGAAGAACACCTAAGAGCGATGGCCTCCAACCTACTAGCGATGGCCTCCAATCTACTAGGCATGGCCTGGAAACCCAATAGCGATGGCCTCCAACCACTGAAAAGGCAATACTTCCTGTATGGTCTTCAAGTGCAGAACTCAGTTGAATCACGAAGAGCTCAAGACTGCTGAAGCCTTCTGAATAGCGTGCCATAACCTGCAACTTGTGGCCAAGACTAGTTGAATGCAGGTGTGAGCATTGGTCAAGCATCTCATCTATAATGGTTTGCCGTTTTTCTTTCGAGTATCATTTGAACTGTGCAGTTTGCAGCCTTTTCTATCAATTAAACATGCACTCATCTAGGTCAGCAAAAGCCTGCAATCAACTCACATTGAAAAGATGGGGTATAGAGTAGTGCGGTGGAGCTTATCCTGCCGTGCCCACTGCAATTGTTCTGGCAGGTCAGACATTCCGGCAGCAGTCACTTCTGTTGAATCCATGATTCATACCATTGAAAACGAAACTTGTCAGGTCTTGGGCATAGCCAGGCTCGCACAGCACCGTGTGAAAGTATGAACATGACAAGAAGCACAGCTCTCCCATCGTTTGAGGTTCCTAAGAGTGATACTGTTGGCAGTTTGTATGTTTGGCTGGAGGTAGACTTTTTCATTTGGCTGACAGGATTTGCAAAACCAGATTTGCATGAGGTTCTTTGCGTGGAACGGTGTCGCACATCCTTTGAAGGGGATTTGAAGCATACATAGACAACATATCCATTAACATCTCCGTTTTGGCTATGGAATACTCTCCAGAGCGGCTAGGCTCGGAGATCTGTCCGCAGCTGCTTCGAGGAAGAGCTACCAAAACGTTTGGGTGCCCAGTGCCCAGTTGCATAGCCTGAAAGATGTACCAAAACATGCTACTGTAGTGCATACACTTTAGTGAGGTGTTCAGTCACCGGCACTTCAAGTTTTTGTGAGAAGTCCATTGTTGCGTCTTTTGCCAACCTCAGCTTCATTTGGGCATGCGGTGTGGCAGGTAGATTTGAAGATTTATGATTGGAATGTGCAAAAGGTAGATAGATTTTCCAGTTCGCAGTGGCAGTGGTTCAATCCATGTCTACGTAAACCAAAGAGCAGCCTAAACAGGCGCGGCAGACCAACATGGGTAGTGAAATGATGACAAAGGCCTTTGCCCCTGTATTGTGGAGACGCGTGGGAATGGACCAGACAAACAGTCATGCGAGTGACGATGAGAGCAAAATCAGAAGGTGCCGGTGCTTGGTTCCCTTTAATATGATGCCCCTCTACGAAGGGGTTGAAGGGGTCTGTAGCGTGATGTAGTTTTTGGTTTCGCATGTCAATTTGTCAAGAGAAGCTTGATGGATTTGAGCGCTAAAGGTTTGCTCGCCCAAGGCAGGTGCTGATTCAGGCAAGCCGAGTCGAAGCTTCCGAACGGTGGCTGTGAACAGATCAGAAGCGCAATGGAACACCCGAAGCGGCACGACTGACATAAGCAGAGCGCACTACTGGCAGCATAATGTGTCAACTGAGAACTGAGGCAAGCAACAGTAGGCAGAAGCATACAGAACGCCAGCCAACAAAGTACAACAATATCATCAACATATATCAAAATACCACAGCGCAGCAGTGCTTGAGCTGTTGAAGCAGCTGCAGGAAGTGTCGCTGGTTACGGGAATCATGAGGAGGCACATGGACTGGACAAATAAAGAAAAGCGGGCTAGGCGCCAGGTTCTTCATGACCTTCGTGTCAACTTGCTGTACTCAATCCATTTGGCTTGTGCAAGCTGATCCTAGGTGAGCATGTAAAGAGGATTGATGGTTATAGCAGCATACCAAACTGCATTCCGTGCCACAAACATTTTTGACTTGGTGGCTTTGTGCTGCTGATTGAGACAAATAATCACAGCCTTTCAGGCAGTCACAAAGCTATTGTACAAGTTCTACGGTAGTCCAGTCTAAAGATCTTAGCCCTGGACTACTGCAGCTGAGGCTTCAATCGTGAGGGGCAGGCAACACACTCGGGGAGTGAACGGAGTCTTGTGGACAAACTATGTGCATGGGATTCAGTTGGGAAAGGTTTCAAACAATGCTTTTTGCCAACAAATCTAGGATCCGAATGAATAGTGCAAGCGTGAGCTATCCTGCAACCAGTAGCCAGTAGCTAGTAGCTTATTTGAACTACTAGCTTACCTCTTCCAATACCCCCGTGCTTTAAAAAAAGGTCTCAAAAAGAGGTAAAGAAGTTGCTACCCTGCTCCCAGAGCATCCCAGAGGAGCCTAGTCCATTCCGAAAGGCATCTATGTTGCGTATGTTGGTTGCATACAAACATTTGGATTGCTAGATTGTAATCGACTGTACCAAACCAACAAAAACTACGATGTTAGGCTTGCATCCTTTCCAAAAAGTCATGTTTGTAGAGACTACAAGATTCAGAGCAGCTTGGAACACGATGGTTTTCATGCAGCAATTTGCCATGCTCTTAAACCATGGGTAGTAGAAAGTACTGCACCTACTACACGTTACAGACATGTCAGAGCTAGCAAGCAAGGCATCCTACCCTACATGCTTCAGCGCCACTAACTAAAGAAAGCCTGCAAGCATGAATCCTCAAGATTGCCACCTGCACGCAAAGGTCTGCAATTTATCGGCGTTGCCAGCAGACAAGGAGAAGGAAGCAGTGCTCGACAAGCTTGAGCCCTGGAAATGCTGACTTGTCTCATGAGCTTTGTGAAATCCCATTGAAGGTGGTCATTGATTTTGAGAAGCACTAAGCAGAAAGTACCAAACATTCGCTTGGTGAGATGGGCGTGGGGACTTCAGGCGCATGGAACATCTGCAGGCAGACATGCAGCTCAGACCAAAGATGTGCCCTGCACTGTTTCTGCATAGGGGGTTTTGCTGAGCAGCATCCCCAAGCAACCTTGTGTGGTTGGTCCTATAGTTGATCAAAATTGAGCTGGATCAATCAGATCAATCAGAATATTATTGATAGAAGGGAATGATTGCTGGTACATAGGCATACATATGCTGGTTTGATCATACAGTGATTCTCACTGGACGACATTTTGTGTACATAGCTGTTACCTTATATATGGGAGTTGATCGAAAACCCCGTGTAAGGAGTTTTATATAAAACAGCCTTTCAGATGTTGTTAGAACCATCCGCGAAAGATTCGCGATGAGGTTCGCGAAAGTATCTGTTTTTTCCGCGAAAGATTTATCGAAGGTCATCGCTTTCATTGTTTTCCTTTCTACCGGACTGACAAAGAATAGAAACGCAAGGCAATCCTCCGGCAGAGCCAGTGGGCGAAGTGTCCCCATGTCACAGACTAACGAACTGAAGCCTCAACCTTTCCGTGCCCAGCCCTGGCAGTGCGTAAAGGATTCTTGTTAGGATCGAGAGGAAGTTCAGTCATGTCATAGTTGGTGGAACACATGGTATGCATCTAGGTGAACTGCGCACATACTTGAGGCCCAAAGTACACGTGAAAAGAGGCGTGTGATCTTTTTCATGGTAGCGGAGCTCTGCTGGTAGCCCCAGCACCTCCGGGGAAACCCTTTTCAATCCACCAGGGGGAAACGGCTCACCGAAATCCCGGGTGAGTGTCAGAAGCCGGGTCTCGCACATGGCCGGCACTGAAGAGCAGGAGGGCACTGGTGGGGCGACCGCTGGAGCTGTTGGCTCCATAAGTGGGGTCCAAGGGCTGGTTCAGGCCCTTCATGGACTCATTGAAGTTCAGAAGAGCTCAGGGTTCACTAAGCACCTGAAGCCACCGACCAACTTCGCCCCTGAGAATAGAAGTGAAGAGTTGAACAGGTGGATGGATTGGCGGTTCCAGTTCGAGACGTTCGTTGGTGCAGTAGATCCCCATATGCTAGCCCACATGAAGTCAGCAGAGAAGGAAGAAAATGCCATCAACGATGCACTGCCGACCATCCGTCCTCAGTCCGAGCGCCTGTACTCACTACTGACAGGTTTGATGAAGCAACGACCACTACGTCTGGTCAGAGGAGTGGCAAACCAAAACGGGCTTGAGGCTTGGCGCACACTCACGAGGGACCTGCAGCCGAAAACGAGACAGAGGTCATTGGCTTTGATCCAGTCCCTCAACAAGATTCAGTTTGACATGAACAAGACTGTGACCGAGCAGCTGCCCCAGTTCGACCTGATGGTGAGAGAGTACGAACGAAGCTCCAACGTGACCTACCCGGATGACTTGAAAATCGCTTCGGTGATTGCTGCCTTGCCCTCCACCTTGAGGCTCCACATCCAGATGACCTTACAGGACGACACCACATTTGAGGACCTCCGGCAGAGGATTGAGATGTATGAGCAAGTCAGTCAGAGGTGGATGAGTGATGGGAGCCTGCAGATGAATGTCAAGCCGCTGATGGACACCGAAGATCGTGGGGGTCCGATGGAGGTGGATGCAATTTGGTCCAAAGGCGGAAAGAAAGGTGGAAAGAAGGGCAAGAAGGGAAAAGACAAGGGGAAGAGTCAGAAAGGCAAGAACCCCTGGTCCAAGGACGGAGGCAGAAAGGGTGGCAAGGGCATGAAGAGCTCTGGCAAGCAGGATGGAAAGAAGGGCAAAGGAGGAGTTGGGACCTGCCACAATTGTGGCAAGCCTGGGCATTTTGCCCGGGAATGTTGGGCTCCCAAGAAGATCAACAAGGTTGAAGAGCGCGATGGCCAGGAGTTGAACAAGAGTCAACAAACGACTCAAGCAGGACGAGATCAGAGTCAGGCGACTGGAGCGTCAACTGGTCAAACCTCCCACTCTACGTACAGGGCTGGAGTCAGGAGAGTGCGACTGGTCACGCCTACAGGTCTGGCAACCATGGAGATCTTCGACTTGACGCAGGATGACTCAGCGGAAGAGCCGGAGACAGAGAATGATGATGAAGACCTGGCTATGGCCATTTTGGCCGTGCGAGAAGTAGAGAATGAGATTGAGGAAGAGACCTTCTACGACTGCCAGAGCGAGAGTGAGTTTGAGCCCCCTGGAACTTCGACCTTGGGAAGTACAGGAGATCATGACCTACGACATGACCCACGAGCCCAATGCAATGATGAACAAGCAATGAAGGTTCGAGTTTGCATGGTCAGGCAAGAAGCACCAACAATTGCCTTGACCTTGGACTCCGGTGCAGATATATCGGTAGCACCGGAAGAATACTATGCCATGGGCATGCCGGGCACTTCACGATCAGTGTCAATGATGGATGCCCAAGGTGGTGCAATCAAGAGTTCAGGAAACCGCAGGCTGCGACTACAGGCCTACACCCGTGATGGAGAGCTCATTGAGTTTGTTGAACAGTTTGCCCTGGGAGTTGGAGTATCACATCCTTTGCTGAGCTTTGGACGGTTGCTCAAACAGGGCTGGGTGTTGTCAAGAGATCAAGATGGTCTTCATGTCGAGCACCCTGAAAGAAAGATGAAGATTCCTGCACGACTGGAGCGAAATTCCTTAGTGATGGATGTCCGGGTCTGTGCGGTGCGGGCAGATGACATGGACGATGAGCCCTTGACAGTGGAGAATGAAGCTTCCAAGAATGACGATGTGCCAAAGGAGAATGCAGTCGCTTCGAATGACATGGCCAAACCCGTCGAGGAAGAGGCTGAGAATGTCGAGAAGTCAGCAACTGGCTCAACTGAGGGTGTGCATCATCCAGATCCAGCAGGAGGTGAACGAGGAGTGAAACGGGCTGTTGATGCAGAGGATGGAGGAACATTGGCCCTGATGGAGGAGTTGTCAGAGCAAATGCCGCCTGCAGCAGAAGAGAGATCAACAGATGAAGCGCCTGCAAAGAAATCGAAAACAGCAGAGGCAGAGGCTGTGGAACATAGATCACCTGGCTACACCACTGAAGAGTCAGGTGATGTGGTGGTGGAAGCAAGCAGCAGTGATGATGGCAAGGTGAAGGCACGGATGGCTAGATGGGCGAACTGGAAGTTGAGATATGGAGAAGTGAAGAGTGAGCCCATGGAGCTGTCAGATAGTCCTGTCGTGGACGTGGAAGTTGATGAGAATCACGTTTTTCCAGTTCGAGAAGAAGGACAGTCACGGCAGGGATACATATCCAGAGAGCTAGCACTGCTGGAAAAGGTGCCAGGGTGGCATGCACTACCCAATGGCATTGTGGTCCATTCGAGCCCTCAGGCCACACACTTTCTGGATCCCAGTATGTCCTTCGGTGACGAATGGTGTGCACGCCTGACGCTGCTCAAGAAGAAGGACAACAGCGGGCTCTGGGAGCAGATAGAAAGTCTGGCTGTGTACAGAGACACACCATTGCCATTCAGAGCAATTCCAGGAGGACCTCGACCTGCACTGACTTTTGTGGCTCCAGGTTTGATTCGAGATTACTTTGTCTGGAATTCAGAGGTCCCTGTGAGTCAGTACCCACTGCTGCAAGGAGAGCCGTCATCATGGCCAGATGATGAACGTGATGAAGAAGGTGGTGAGTTCCCCATGTTGGCAGCAGGAAGTGGAGGAAGAGCTGAGATTGCCGAGGATGTTCATTTCGTCGATCCTGAAGAGTTGAAAGTCCAGATCGATGATGTATGGTTCGACAAGGAGGCGAAGTTGAAGGACCTCCAAGACATTTGCAAACGTCTGGGCCTGGCAACTTCAGGGTCGAAGATCAAAGTGCTGAAGAGGCTCCAGAGATACAAGCACCAGGAGGAGGAGAAGTTGGCTTACGAGGTGGCACAGCGGCTCTTTTCTGAAAGTCGACGTGAGGCAGTGCCATTGAAGACACCGAAGCTGCCCAGCAGGCACGAACAAGAGCTTCATCAGCTGACACACCTACCATTTCAGTCGTGGTGTCAGCAATGCGTGGCCACCAGGTCAAAGGAGGACCCAAGAACGAAAGAGAGCCAAGGTGAACGAAAGGACAGAGGGAGGCCAGTGATCAGTTTCGACTATGGCTTCACGTTCACTTCTGGAGCCCCTGAAGATCAACAGTGGGGAACAGCACTATATGTGGCCGAGTCAGAGGCGTGCAAGCATGAAGAAGCACGTCTTGAAGCAATGGGAGTGCTCGAGAGAATGAAAGATGGTGAAGAGGCAGAAGAAGGATCATATGTGTTGACATCCAAAATGGTCATCACATGGAAGCATCGAGATGAGCAGGGTGGATGGTTCCGACGGGCAAGGCTGGTGGGCAGGCAGTTCAAATGGTCTGTCTTCACGGAGGATGCCTTTGCACCAACGTCGGCATCAGTGGTGGTCAGAATGCTGTTGCAGCTTCAGATGAGAACAGGTTTGGCGCTGTATACATTAGATGTGAAGGACGCTTTCCTGTTGATGGACCAGCCGGAAGATGAGCGGGCAATGATCGTGACAGAGAATGCCCAGTACAAGTTGAGGAAGAACCTGCCGGGCCAACGGAACGCGGCAGCACAATGGTTCAAAGGTTTCTGCAAAGTTGCCAAGGAATATGGCCTGACGCAGGATGTGATGCAGCCCACAATGATGAAGATAGCCAATCAGAGTGACGATTCAGGAGATGGTCGCTTATACCTTACCATCCATGTAGATGATCTGCTGCTAGTGGGTGACGAGAAGGCAGCAGAGGGCTTCATCAGGTTCATGGAAGACAAGGGCTGGAAGATAGAGAAACGTGGGCCACTTCGATCAGAAGAGTTCAACTATTTGAAGAAACAGATGGAGATCATTGAAAGTGGCATCACGATTCGCCCTGACAAGCAACACATCAAAGATCTGGCCAAGTTGACAAAGGTTTGCCAGAAGAAGATCAGGTCTACCCCGGGTGACGGAAACTTCAACAAGCTTAGCAAAGAGGATGAGCCCATGAGTGCAGAAGACTTCACCAAATACAGGAGCGCAGTTGGGAAGCTCCTGTACATTGCACCTGATCGGCCAGACATCCAATATGTTGCTCAGGGGTTGGCAAGTCTGATGTCATGCCCAACGAAGAAAGCTTGGAGGGCAATGCAACATGTAAGCTCCTACCTGCTTGGCACCATGAATGAGGGCATTTTGTTCGAACATGGAGCCAAAGGCCGATGTATGCTGAACACAGATGACGGCATCTACGAATGGAACATCGACCAGGAAAGCAGGAGCATGTTGGAAGTCATTTGTGATGCAGACTACGCTGGTCAGCGAGATAGTCGAAAGTCTGTGAGCTCGGTGCAGATTTTTCTCAACGGATGCTTGGTTGAAAGCTATGTCAGGAGCCAGCGATCAATAGCTTTGTCGAGTGGAAAGTGAGTATGTTGCGATGGTTGGAGGATGCAGCGAAGGCATTTTCATCCGACACACTGCTGGCAGTTCCTGACAGGTGAAGAAGCCGAGATGGTCTGCAGATCAGACTCCTCAGCAGCAAGGGCTCTGGCAGGACGCATTGGAGTTGGACGGACGAGGCACATCGCAGCAGGACTGTTGTGGTTGCAACAACGGGTCAACTCCAAGGAAGTGCGCATCACGGGGATCCCAACGGCAGTGAACCCAAGTGATATTGGGACCAAGATTCTCAGCAAAGCAAGAATGAACGGCCTCAAATACCTGATCAGGATGATCGACGGTGACGATGAGAAGATCGGAAAATCCGAATATGATGAGATCAAGTTGAAGGAGGAGCTCAAGAAGAACACCACCAAGATGGCAAAGGCCATGGGGGCAAATGCAAAGGTAGCATTGGTGATCGCCTTGTCATTGCTACAAGGTGGGAAAGGCGCTGAAGTTGAAGAACCAGGGAATGATGACCAAGATGATGAGTCCTGGTGGGTGCGGCCATTGGTGACCATGCTATGTTTGGCAGTGATCGGGGCCTTGAGTCTGGCACGGCTAGCAATAGATGGAGCAAGGGCATGGTGGAATGGAAGACGTGTCCATGAAGGGACCATCGAGGAGATCATTGAGGAAAAGCAAGATGAACGTGATCATGGCCAAGCGGTGAATCCGCATGTGAGAAATGAAGATGAGATGAGAGCACCACAGCATGAAGAACCTGGGCAGGAAGAAGACCAGGAGAAAGTGAACATGCAATGGCAGATCGTTCAGCTGGAAGTGGCAGTAGCTGAACAAGAAGAGAAGATGATGGAGATCCGAAAGGATAGAGACATCCAGCATCGTGAGGTCATCCGGATGTACAACATGTGCACCGACCTTCGCTTTGAACTGGAGAATGTGAAGCAGGAGAAGGAAGAAGCAGTGAGAAAAGCAAACAGGCTTGGAGGAACAGATGACGAACGTGCCCATGAAATGGAACGCCTGGCCGAAGACAATGTGCGAGCCTGGGAAGTAGTTGAGATTTGGAAGAATAGAGTGAAAGAAGTGGAGAGGGAAGCTGCAGCCAATTTGGCTGAAGTGCGACGTGCAGCCCACTTCACTTTGGAGAGGAAGGAATGGCAGGTGACACGTACAGGATCCTGCTACCACTCTCATGAGTGCAGTCACGTGGTGAACAACACCGGCGTGAAATTCCTGAAGCCTTGTGCGTACTGTGTTCCGCCAACGATAGGGGCCGTGTTAGGATCGAGAGGAAGTTCAGTCATGTCATAGTTGGTGGAACACATGGTATGCATCTAGGTGAACTGCGCACATACTTGAGGCCCAAAGTACACGTGAAAAGAGGCGTGTGATCTTTTTCAATTCTCCGATTCCTGTCCCCACTGTCACATACTAGCAAGCTGGGTAGGCGCAGCCCTGACAGTGAGGCAACGACCTGCCGCTGCTCTGACGGGCTGTGCAGATGTTTGCAAATGTTACGGCGTCCCGGGGAAAGCACCAGTGAAATTTCGCGAAAGATCCGCGAAAGTTTCGCGAATGTGCCGCTAAAGTCTAGGTTCCCAGCTTGAGGCCCCCAACATTCCCCAAGCTGCATCACCCTGTGTTGGTAGCTGACACGAGGATTGGGTTGAGTTGTGCCTGACTCTATTTGGCACAATTGTCGCACAGATGCTGCAAGTGACCCTGAGTAGCTGTGGAAACGTTCAACCATCTACTGGGGTCATGCTGCAAGATGTCTCTCCCTATTATGACATGTTCCGGCTCATGTTAGCTAGACATGGTTGTAGGACCATGCTTCGCGATGAGGCCGCGAAAGATCCGCGAAAGATATCTTTTTTTCCGCGATGAATGGCCATTCCAGGATGAAAGAATATTGATCAACCACCATATATATATATATATGGCTGAGACATATCAAATGCTGGGAGGAGTGAATAGACACCTCAAAGACTTGCTGTGGTTGCTGTACTACGGACCTGACAGTCGCTGGCGGCTTGTTGTTTCCAGGTACCTGGGTAGCCAAGATGTGTCTTGGTTTCAAATAATAAGGAAAGGACAAGGCCCAGTGTGGAAATGATGGATGGCCTAGTGGTTTTGTGTGTGTGTTTTTTGCGCAGACCAATAATACAAAGCACGTCGAGGGAGTAGAGGGGCATCCCATGATTGTTTTCTTTCTGAACCGCAACATTATGTCTGAGGTCGCTAGTCAGATGGACCAAGCCTGGGTAGCCCAAGAGGGAGCACGGTTGAGAGTAAAACGCAACAGGTTGAACATAGTCAAGTCGGCTTTGATGGCAAGTCATGAGCGAGTGGATGAAAGATCATCCATCCAAACTGCTAGGCAACCTGTTGAGTAATCCACTGGGACAGACTATTATAAGACTGTGTGACGAACAACGGACAAGCTGTTCACTTTGCATAGTTGACATTCACGAGTCAGGACTCGACACAGAAAGCATCCGTTCTTGCAATGTGTACATATCTGTGTGGGTATGGGGATTTGTGTAGCCTGGCATCACTTCGAGATTGGCGACGTTGCAAGGCCAATGAGCTATCCAAAGCAGAGCTCAACAACTTGGAGTCCAAGGCTGAGGCGGGAGCGCTGTTTTGCATCAGGAGAATGTGTGAGCCTCTGACCAAAATAGTTCACTAAACTTGCGATTACAAAGAGAGTCAACAAAGAGGGTGCGGTAAGGCCTCTTTAAAAGGGACCTTACCTGTAATTAAAGGGAAACCTGACCCATATTCCCTTCTCCTTTCAAAGACCTTTATATATATATAATTACTAGACATTACTAGACGATATACTACATTACAGTATATTATAATACATTGCGCTTGTATTACATCATACACAACTATTCTGAGACCAATGCCTGTGATTCGATAGCTTTTGCCAGGCCTATGAACGTGCGCATCTGGACAGCCGCGAGCCCTTGCTCATTCTGAATTTTGAAATGAGATGTCTCGATGTTGAATTGGACGCCTTGATGTTGAATTTTGTATGGACAGATCTTTTGGACGATTCTGAATGGTTTTTGGAGGGTGTTTCTTTGCAGTTGAATGTTACTGCAAAGTGCTAGTTCTTTCGCACGCTAACTTGTTCAACACGAACAACAGCTTTTTTTGGCCTTGTCATTCGTTAGTGAACCTCTACTGTAATTATAGTGGGAAATTCTCATTTCGGGGCTTCTGAAATGTTTGTTTCTTTGCTAATCATTGTGTCTTGGATGATGCGCTGCATCCACCACTGCAGTGCACGAAGCAGGACTTTGTCAAATCATATCTTGCCTACAAGAAAGAGCTGTTCAACTGGAAATCTGCACCCGTCTCAGTCCTGAAGTCTGAAACTGCTTTTTGATCCAGCTTCAAAAAGGAGATGCTATTTCATCTTAGTATATTAAAGGTGTTGAATCTTGGCGTCGCCACACCACCCGGGACTACTTACTCCAAAAGAATAATGTTTGTTGAACAACACCTCCTTTTAATCCTTTTTGTTGGAAACCTGTAGCAACTCATGATTTCATTCCGCTTTGTTTCTTGTGTGATTTAGCTTGGTTCATCTAGACAGCTGCCCCAAGGCAGTGCGAGGTCTGGAGGATGACTATGCACTGCCCGGCGCCTGAGACATGGTGGAAAGTTGGAAAGCCACCAAGAAGGTTGCTATGCGTCATTGTTGGTTTCTTTCCTCAAAGAGCTTGAGAGTTTCAAACGTTCAAGTGGGTTTTAGCTTTGGAAATGACATGAACAGATGACTTGCACCAAGTCGTTTTCACAAGGTAGGGATAGCTATAGGGGCTTGTACTTCTCAAAAACTGGGTGCATTCCGTTTTGGTTTTGCCGTGTGTGCGGCTGCTGTGCCGCTGCTGCCTTGTCTCCCCATTTGTCTCCTTACATGTCTCCCCACTTATCTGCCTGCGTGATCGCCGTTTTGGTACCTGTATTCCGTTTTGGCTCACCGCTGCCACTTCTGCCTTGTCTCCCCACTTGTCTCCTTACAGTAACCATTACATGCCTCCCCAGTTGGTTGCCTGTGTGATCGCCTTTTGGTTTGCCGCTGTTTTCTTGTCTCCTTACTTGTCTCCCCATTTGTCCCCTCACTTGTCTCGCGACTACGTGGATGCCTCCTGGTCAGCTATGGCCTGGCCTCGGTGGTTGAGGGCCTGCAAAGGTACGAAATCCACACACCACCTGGCTTCATGGATCTTTTTCACGACGCTTCTCGGTACTATAGGCACCACTTCAGCCTCAGCACCACCCGTGCACCTTGCATGGCTTCTAGCACTGGGCTTGTTGGCCGTGGTATGGGATTGGATGACTCGGATGACTACACCCAATCCACCAACAACAGCTTGTGGATTGGACACATCCTCACTTAATTCACCAACACCGTTGGAAAAACCACTGATTCAGGGGAAATGGGACAGAAAACCAAAACATATCAAAACATAAAAGCCATATACAAGCATGCACTTTCACCGCTTGGCTTGTTTCCAAGATAGGCGCGCAGGACGCTCTCGCGTCTCAGCACCTCGCACTCGGCACCGAAGATGTGCCACCAAACTGCATGCACAGCGACTCCACTTTTGGAGCCAGGGGCGCCCTACAAGACTGCGCCGGCCGCGCCGGCCAAGGGTCGCTACACAACCTATACCTACTCCATCTGGGTTCCAACTACGCCACTGGACCAGACTTCTCTCCAAGACCCAGCACTTGCAGAACTGAACTTAGCCACCGGCTGAGGCGGCTGTCTCCATGCCACAGCCGCTTACAGCCAGCGACCTTTCCCCGACCTGGCCGGCGGGGCCGCCGCCTCGGCAGCTACCAAACGTAAGCGGTGGGAAGAACCCACCTTGCAGCAGACCAAACACTTGCACAAGCTGTCACGCAGGTGCACCAGCAGTGGCAAAGTCAAGGAGATTCAACCAAATCTACACCGCCCAAACGGCGTCGCCCGGCACCACCTCCCAAGCCGGCCCCAGCGACCTCCAGTGACAGCTTAGCACACCAGCTGCACACTCTCCTCACCGAAAGTCAGTCACAGCACAACACTTATCAGCAACTGGCTCAACAACTTCTGACACTCCTTACTCCCTTAAACAGCATTCTAGACCAGGCGCTCCACCATCACACCGTACGCTCATTTTACAGTCACCACCTTCGGCCAACGCCAACAACCGATGGCGTCGATCTAGCAAAGATCCGGCAAACAGCGCTATCACACACCTGGTCTCACACGAGTGGACTCAACCTGGGCCACAGCGCCGAGATACTGCAAGCCATCCGAGAGGGCAAACCTCTGCCCAAAGCCAATATCATAGAGGTCTGGTCTCTGACAGAAGCCGAGGCTCTCCGCACCGCTTGGCGTGCGCATGGCCTCACCACCTCTCTGACCCTTCTATTACAAGGACCAGCCAAAAAACACACATACACTCGCATTCGCGTGATGCGAGGTCGTTGAGGACAAACTGCTGGAGGATGTCGCCTTGCACGCCCTGGGCACAGACGGGAAACATCCCTGGACTCAACAAACTACATCACACGTCATCCCGCGACACACATTGCGTTTCGCAGCCCCAGCTGAGTATCGACAGTTCTTCCATGACACTCAAGACAAGCCACACCTTATCGTCGCAGATATGGCTCAATGGGAGACAACGCTCCGCGCAGGCGTACTCGCAGGAGGTCAATGGACCGAAACTTGGACCAAACACGACTCCTTAGTTGGATACCTCCGCCTGCCCTGCAAACACGCAGAAAAGCTCTTGACACATAGCGGCGCAGGAGGCATTTTCGTCAACGTCCAGGAAACCGACTCCATCCCTAAACCTATCACCTGGATTGCCCGTGACCTCAACGACCCCGCTGCCAACAGCAGGCGCAAAGCAAACTGACATTCAGGATTGTTCTACCGCAAAAGCCACGCTACGAATTACCTCGGCATCCTTGCATCAAAAGGCGATCCAACTGCGCGACAACCCCGCTCCTACCTGATTCGAGGCGTTCCACGCCAATGGGAAGCTGAAGAAATCACGCACCTCCTCACCGAAAAAAATTGGACCGCTCCAGAAAGGTTCACCAAGAGCAAATTTAAGCTTGAATGGAAGTACCAAGCCATCCCACCGGAAGAGAAAGAGATCATTACATTACTGTCTTAACGGGCATGACACCATCTCTTGTGTCCCAGACCCCCGCAAGACTACCTCAGACCGGTCTATGACCGATGTCTCCAAAGCCCGCAGCCGCGGCCCCCCACCGCAGCGATCCAAGAGCGAACAGATCTCCGCCTCGGTTCCTACTTAGGGGAACCCTGTGCCTGCTAGGTACTTAGCAAGGTTAACATAGTTAGCTAAGTACTTACTAAGTGCTTATTTTGTATCAGATACTCCTAGGAAAAAAAGTGATGGCACCTCGTGTAAAATCACTTT